TCAGGCTGCATTTTCCCCACCTCATGGCTCCTTCCACGTTTCCTTTCATAGCGTTTACCACATTTTCTTGGTGAATTTTCCGCGTCATTATTTGCTGGCCGAACTGCTCCCCCATTAGATTGTGATTTCCATGAGGCGTCTGCCTCGTTTGCCACTGAATTAATTGCCTGTGTTCGGCACAGTCCTTGGCACAGAGTATTGGCGGTCCTCAGTACTCCGTGAACACAGGCTCACTGAATACTTAGGCTTAAAAATACGGGCTCATAAGTGGGCTTGACAAATACAGACTCCAGAGAAGTGGGCTCAACAAATAGTTGAATAAATGAACAACTACCAGTCCATTTAGTGATTGCTTTTAGAGTCCTGCTCAGCTTTTCTCCAGTAACTGCAAATTTTAATTGCTAACATGTCACGTGTCCTTCAATGGCAGGCCTGCTTCTAGACAGTTCAACCTCAGATCAGTTAACAGTGTAGGAGATCACTCCTGTGTTCTTGTTTATGCTTCTAGCTTGCCTAGAAGACCAACATGGTAGACTTGTTTTCAGCCCTTCCTTCTATATAATTCAGAGCCTTTGGACTCCAAATTAATGGAGTTTTTGGTGTATTGGGGCAACTGAAGGAAATGCATCTAATTACTTACATTTTCATATAATGATATTTGAGTAATACATCTATTAGCATTTTAATAAAACCCGGGAACTGAGACAGTGGGAGGAGGCTTGGCACGAGAGAGGGCTATGCTTCTGTTGTGAGTTTCATCAGGCTGCTTCACTCCATTTTCTTCCTAATTATCTCACAGTTTCTGGTAGCCTTTTCAAGATGGCTAAATTTAAATTTGCTACAATGTTTTTCAGCAGTCTCTTCCTCTCGACGTGGCTGGGCAATTATTTCTGAGGGAAATTATTAAAAGCACAGCCTTTAATCAAGGGGGAGAACAGAACGTGCACAGAGCTGGGATGAGAGGTGGTTTCTTAAGGAGATGCCCGCGATGGGATGAGAGCATCCGAGTCTGTGAAGATTGCATTAAAGATGGCGGAGTCGGCCATTTCTGAAGATGGAGGAAGTGATAAACAGAGTGATGTGGTGCCCTCAACAGGATCACATTCTGTGCTTTAACATTTGGCTAGGGCGCTACTTACTTTTTGAAAAGGGCCATTCATTTAAAAGCAAGTTAGCATCCTTCTTCAATAATCCAAATTAGTTTAACACACTTCAGTGACATTATTTGGGCATTTTTCACAATTATTAAAGATAACTCCCTTTTCTCTGTAGACTGTAGGTCAAAAGCAAATTAAATCAATGGATTTTCTTCCTTCGCTTTCTCAGATGCGTCAGAAAGCATTGGTCAAATGCGCACATGGCCTTTCTGCTAAGCTTCAGAATCCAAACAACCTGCTGAGAAGACATTTGGCCAATCTGATTATTTTCTCTATACTAATTGGTTTTCCTTCTTCATTGAATTGAATGAATCGCCTGGTTGTTTTGTCACTGTGGGGACACAGCTTAATCCACTTATGGTGGGGTGCTTATGCTGTGGTAAACTACGGGGCTTGAGAAACATTTATCATCGTTATTATCTTTCGGTGATTCTTCTTGGGGGAGAATGAAAATCTAGCTTGAATCCATCCATTTTCTCCATTTCAGTTTCCACTGCCTTTGCTAGTCATCTCCCCTGGTGACTGGGTCACCCTGGTGCGCTCTACTGTCCGGGCAGTAGCCACGTTGGTTTCTCCATGGTGAATGTGGAAGAACATCCAACCCCTTCCCGCGGCTGTACCTGTACCCCACGACCTGAGCCCCTGGTGGCTTCCCCACCTTCGTTTTGCCTCCTGCCCCCTGCTCACCGCCCTTCTTCCCACTGGTTCCTTAATCCCCTGGGCTCCTTCCCACCTCAGGGTCTCTGCGTCTGCTCCTTCCTCACCCCAAGTGGCTTCGTGGGCTGGGCCTTTCTTGTCCCCAAGGTTTCATTTCAGATGCTGCTTATTCAGAGAGGCCTTCCTCAATTATTTGAAATAGTCACCTATCCACCACTGTCTGTAATATGCTGCCATTGTCTGTGACTCTCTGTGAGACCCCCATTTGCTGTGACTCTCCAGAACATGCTTCCCTCCCCTGTTTACTGCCGGCTCTGCCACAGCCTCCTTCCTGGTCGTGTTTGGTGTATGTGATATCCCCACCGTCGGTTCATCTCTCTCACGACCCCTGGCACACCTGGAAATCACCAGCTGACTTGTCCTTATTTCTCTTCCCCATTGGAGCAGAGGCTCTTGGGCGCCTTTGTCTTGCTCTCCAGTGCTTCGGGGTTGAGCAGTGTGGTGCCTGTGTCATCGAATGGGTGTAAGACACACTTGTTGAGCAAAGGAATGGAATACCACAAGCCTGTTTCTGTGTCAATCTGCAGGTGCTCAAGTGAAAATTGTATTAAAGGAAAAATTATTACTTCCTTTCCCAACCCGCTGCACTTTTCTATAGATTTTCCAAGTTGATTTGCTCAGGATTAATGCACTTGATAATCTAGTAACCTATCCCTCGAGATAGAAGAAGTAGGTCTGTACTTTCTAGGCAGGAGCTTGGAGGACTCCTTGCGTAGAGGCCAACCTGAGAAATTGGAAGACCCAGAGAACCCCTATAGGGCTTCCCACTCAAACACGGCAACCAGATGACCTCACATGGCAGCCCCGGTTGACAAATTGCAGGGAGCTCCCGATCAGTTATTGAGCGGCTATTTTCTGAATGTGGGCAGATTTTAAGCTTGCTGGATACCTCAGGAAGGTCTTTCATCGAAAGAGAAAAAGACAAATGAGAACAAAAGGAACTTGGAAGAGAGAGAGACTGGGTTAGAGAGAGGCAGACTTCAGCATTAACAGCAGGGACAACAAGTCATTATTAATATTGCCAGCGATACAGTGGAAGATCCTGGAGCCTGAAGTGATGACAGGGTGGCCCACAGAAGGGAGCAGTAGTTGGCTCTTAGAAATTAAAAACATGATAGAAATAAAAAATTATGAGTTGGAATAGAAAGTTGAAGGAATTCTCCCAAAAGTGAAAAAAACAAAACAAAACAAAACAAAACTAGGGAATAGAGAAAAGAGAAGAGGACGAAGGATTAGACAAGGGAGCCCAGTGACTCACCAAGAGCAGTTCTAGAAAGAGAGAAAAGATGAAACAGAAGGAGAATAAATATCAAAGAAATAACAACATATTTCTCCCCAAACCGAAGGACAAGATTGCGAACGAAAGGGCACACTGAGTGCCCAGACAATGAATGAAAATAGACCAGGACCATGGAGACACTGAACAAAGAAGAGTCTAGGAGTTTCCAGAGAGATGAGAAACAAAAAGCTTTTGCCCAGAGGATCATGAATCATAAATCAGGTTGGCTCCAGACTTCTTAACAACTAGAACTCAGTGGAGCTGTGTCTTCGGTGCTGAAAGATAATGAATTCTGATTCAAAATGCTCTACCCAAACCAGTGGCAGATTAAAGTCTAAAGAGTTTTATTTCACGCACCCTTTCTCCTGAAGCTGCAGGAAAGGTTGCATAGGAAAGCAAGGAGAAGGAGGTGGGGGCCCCAGGAACCAAGGAGGTGAGGAGAATCGCCACAGTGGCATGAAAGGGGATCCAGGGACATGGCTGCACATGGGGCCTAGGGAGCAGCGGTCCCCTGGGGGCAGGCCGGAGAATTTCCAGAGAAATCTTTCTAAGGGAAGGAAATGAAAACGTTAGACAATTGAGAAGGAGGTAGGAGGAATGCTTTAGTACTAGGGCTGTAGAAACCTAGGCAGATTTAAAGAAAACAAGGTAATTATTAACTCCAGGGAAACTCGTGTTGGCCAGAAAGACAGTGTCATCCCAGTACATGACGTGGCTCAGCAGTGACAGACGTGGTCCTGAACATGTGAACACTGAATATTCTCCTAAACAAAACCATGACATCACAGTTATATAACTGTTGAGATGGGGTGGGAAGTGCGCATATGTGGGGGGGGGGCATGAAGGTTTTGGATCCAGGGGGCTGGGGAAGAGATGAATGCCCCTGTCTCCCTGTGAGGAGTCACAGACTATCCTCCAAACTGGAAAAAAAAAAAATTTAAGAAGTAGTGCTACAAAGCATGTTATTAAAAGCAAGGCAGATAAATATCAAAAGAATCCAAAGTGGGAAAAGGTGAGTGGGTGGGCAAGCATTGCTATTTTTCTTAGTAAGTTGAAAGATTCAACTTTCGGAAACTCTATGCATATGTAACTTTAATAAAAATGAAAGTGAATCGAACACTTTCCTCTGGTGGCCCAGCCATTCTAGAATTTTTTCTGATCTCATCTCATGGTGTAAAAGCCGTCCTCCCTGCGATCCTGTGGCCTTTTCGACCCGTATCCCAGGCCAACATGACAGGCGGAAGAGAGAATAAGGGTGAAGCCCTTGCAAGGGAGCTGCTGTTTTGCAGATGTTTTCAAGGTCCCATCTTAGCGCCCCTTTCCCTGCCTAGATCACAGCCATGACCATCTCAAAACAACAGCAGCACCAAAACCGACCCAGTGCTCTGATGGATGGAAAACTTCACATACCATATAGACGGAGATTTCTACCCTTGACCCCGGTTGCATGGCCAGAGACTTCAAGCCAGTCTGAAATGAGCCCAGACAAATGTGGCCAGGAAGATGGCTCTGATCAAAAAAAAAAAAAAAAAAAGCCACATGGAATACTTTAAAATAAATAAATAAATATATATATATATATATATATATATATATATATATATATATATATATATATATATATATATATATAATTTAGGGATTTTTTTTCTGCCTTAGGAATGGGTTTTGCTGTTGCTTCAACCTTTTTTGTGTGCAGTGGCTCAAGGGTAAACGATCCCATACATGCTCTGGGAGATGAGGGTGAACGAGCCTTTCAGAGCCTGTGATGAAGGCAGAGTCCTGGGTGATCGCCATTTGCTGATATTATACTGTCCGGTGCATATAAATGTACCTCCCCATTTTAGGTCCAAATCTGCGAGGGGAGCCATCTTGCGTCACCTCAGAATCGCCTGTGTGTCTTGGGCATGGACAGGAGGAGGAGGAGGGCTCCAGACCAGCCCTGAGAAGCTTCTCTTCCAGCACCAGTTCAGGGCCCGGCAGTGAAATGGACCAGGTAACCGTGAGGGTGGGAACCACGGGTCAGAGCTGCCTGTGCCCACTGGGCGTGTTGATGAGTGGCTCTCCTTTCCTGGTTGCGGGCGTCCCGGGTGGTGGTAGAGCTCGCTCCGCTGCGAGGCACGCCAACACCTCCAGACGCCGTGTACTGCAAGGACGGGGCGATCACCGCAAGTCCTAAAGAGGCTTTCGAAGAGGGTAGAGAGGCTGTCACGTTGCGGGCATCACCGTGACGTGACTTCCCCGCCAGGCAAGGTGGGGAGGGCCGTGGGTTGCAAAGCACAAAAATGCTAAACCAGACCACCCTTCAAAAAGTGCTCCTCTGGAGACAGCTAAGTGCAAGGTGCTGTGAAATGGCACGCCTACGCCGTGAGCTGCGGTAGTGTAAAATGGGATGCTCAGAACCGAGGGTTGGGGGGGTGGCGGTCATTGAGTGGTGCTGTTTTTCACAAAGTCAGATAAAAACACAGCAATCTCAGTGACCTGTTTTGTGTCAACAAGTTTTACTTGAGTTACTGCACCAATTCCTTATCGATGGGACCTGATAGAAGCCACCTATTGAGGTTGATGCTCCATAAAGAATCATTAAGAACTCAAGACCTAGTTTCACTAAGGACCACGTTTCTGACCACAAGTTTTTTTGTTTGTGTGTGTGTGTGTGTGTGTGTGTGTGTGTGTGTTTTTGGTACCAATTAACCTTTTCCTCCCCATTTGTTTTCCTTTGCGTTTTTCTGCAGGAGACTCCTGCAGCTCCCAGCGGGCCCGGTGACCGCTACTCGCAGGACAGCACCTCTGGGTTGGGACAGTCTCTGTGCTCCGACTCGTGCGTGGCCGTGGCTACCGACGGCCTTCTGTCTCGAGGCAGAGGCCCCGGCGTGGGATTGCCGGAGATGCGCCCTCCGCCCTCCCAGGAGCAAGTAGCTCTGAAACTATACGTTTTCTCAGATGCTCAAGAGCCTTCTTCCCTCGAGTCCAGAGGAACCTCTCCCCGCCAGGATGGTGCTACCTCGGTGGCTGCCATGTGTGCTCTGGGGGAGAGAGCAGGTCACACAGCCATGGCACGCCACATTGCGGAGCCACGGGGCCACAGAGCAGCAGGGGAGGCTCTGACGCCAGGCTCCCCGGATCAGAAGGTGAGAGCCGAGAGCATGTCACCATCAGTCCTGCCAGGGAAGCCTTCATGTGGGCAGAGAATTTCAGGTTTGCTCCTGTTGGGGTCAACTGGAAAGACTCATCCTGAAATACCGGCCTCGGGACCAGCTCCGGCCAGTCCATACCAAGAGGAGGGGGAACACAAGACACTTTTGCCTACTGGGGGACAGTACGGGCCTTTTCCTTTAGGAACTGACAGTGGGAAATGTCAAGTCTCTGGGTTAACTTCCCTAAAGGATTGTGTGGTTCCTTCTAAGCCAGGGCAGTCCGGACCATGCCCTGAAGCCCCTTCGAAGACCGTCAAGAGGAGGGGTCTGGAGGGCCTCAGGAAGCAGACTCGGGTGGAGGTCAGCGACACAAGCAGTGACGATGAAGACCGGCTAGTGATAGAGATGTGAGGCTTCTGACGTCTGTGGTCAGAGGCAGACGCTGTCAGGCTGGCGGGACAGCTGAACTCTATTTCGCCAGGCACCTCCACATTAGGAGAGCCATTTGGGGGATCTTTCCACGACATCCCCAACCAACTTGCGCCCCCCTTCCCCAGCTCCCCTGGCGGCGCACCAGGCAGGGCCAGGGTGGCATCAGAGCAGAGTCCAAGAACGCCTGGTGTCTGAGAACGCCTGGTACACAGTGTCTGTGCTGGACTCCCAGCTGCACCCTCCGCATCGGCCCCCCACTGCCGCATCCGGCCAGAGGGCGCTACCCAGGAGAGCCACAGTCGCCACATTTATGTAAAAGCGAACCCGTAGAGTCAAGTCGGCCAGCTTCCTCCATTGGTCAGCTGAGGGTTTGCTTCAAAGGTGGTAAGCACGCTCGGGTCTCTGGGGTGGCTTGCAGAGGAGCTGGGGTATGACATGGGCATCAGGATGTTTTTATTCCTTCTAGAAACAAAATCCAGATGCATTAAAAAACTGAAGTTTGGTTAGAACAACTTACGTCCTTAGTGGAAGTTGTAAATATCCCTCAAAATGCCTATGAGCTGGTGAAATGTTGATTGTCTTTAAATGTCACCCAAATGGTCAGTGCTTACCTACGATCCTACAGCACAAGCATGTATTGCTCTTGGGCCTGGTGCCTTTTGTGCTGAGGCCTCTGAAACCCTTGGTGTTTTTAGCTCTTGCAAAGGAACACTGTGTTAAAAGTTAATAGAACAGGCTCTGGGATGAGTCATTTTTTGAGGGGGAAAAATTCACTTATTTTTCTCTGATTCTTTCTGTCATATTGTGCTCTGAGCAATTTCAATTAGAGGGGTACATTTTAGTAATCTGTACAGCTTAAATTGATGCCTGCTCATCGTGACGGGAGCCTTTTAGATTTCCTCCAGAAGCTTCAAGGATACAAAACTAATTGGAGTTTTGACGCTGTTTTACATCTCAGTAATTTTATTTTGGGGGCTTGGTGTTACTTTGCTGTCAAATTAAATCAGCCTCTGTATTGTGCAAGTCAGAACAGAACAGATAAAATTCCCCAGTATTCCAAGCCAGTGCACCCCTGTGCAGAGCTGAATAGCTGATCTACGGCAGCAGACTCACTGAGCGAGGCCTCAGATGTACTGTGTTCCTCTCCTTCTCCTGAAATGGGAGAGGAAAAACTTAACGAGATTTATACTGCTGCATTTCGATAAAATTTTATACTTCCTTTTGGTGTGATTTTGTACAATTTGAAATTTACAGCAGAGCTCTCTTGGCTTCGCTGCGACGTGACGATGTTCGCGTGACGTCCTGTATCCAGAGCAGCAGCACTGAGCTCAGTTCACACACGCGGACACGCTTTAACGCGTCCTTTCCTGGGGCCGAGGGTGGTCGTTTCAAGTATCGTCATGTGACTTTTCCAATTTTAGGATTATTCATAGGAAACTTCAATGTAAGACCAGCTTCCCCTGGTGGCTTAGCATATGTCTGTGGTCATTTCCAATGCGCTCATAAAAATCCAAGTGATTTCAAGCCCAGCCAAGAAAAACATAAGAAGAGAGGTGAAAGGATGCCAGGCATTCATTTCGTATACTATCCCCACCCCCCCGCCCCGTCGTGTACTTTTTAAACCAAACTAAAGTGCTGTGGTGATGACCTACCTTTTGAATTACCTGTGCCCCCGTAATGAGAGAGGAGGTCTAGGAGAGAGGTCTGAGTCTTGGAGGAAGAGAAAAAAGAAGGCCTGACTTTGTCCTCAATGGGCTGGGAAACCTTGGGTAAGACATGTGCCCTCTCTGTGCCTCAGTTTCTCCAGCTGAGAATGAGAGTTACACCAGATGAGCTTGAAGCATCTCCAGGCTCTAATCCTTGTGAGACAAGCTCCCTCTCCTTTACCTCCGGGGACCTGGGGGGCTCAGAGGTGGCCCCCATGGGGAGGGGTCCCCCACACAAGACTTCTGGGTGGGGACTGGGGATTGGGAAGAACTGAAGAATGAATACCTTCTGCCAAGTGTCACCCTGAAGAACATGAGCTTGGAGAAGCTCCGTATGATTTTTTTCCCCCAGAGTTCCAGATTTGGGGGGTGCATCATCCAGTGTACAAATCAGGCTCATAATTCAAAGATTAAAAGCAAAACCAGAACACTGCCGTGTGAGGGGAAGACAGCATGTGTATGGGCTGAATGGAGTACTTTGTCTGGGGAGGCACTGGTCAGGGGAAGAGGACTGTCTTCCAGATCTTTCTTCCCTGGCGGCTCCTAAGTTATCCACAGGATTGCTGTTCTGAGTCAGTAAAGTCACAGCTTCAAAACAGCACTCACCTCCAGTTGGTGACAGAAGCCCTGTCCTTCTAAGAGCCACCATTGCTGGGGGCCACATCCCAACCTAGATCAAATATGGCAGCACATTGATTCCATCTGTCTGCCTCTGACCAAGGTGAGCAGGTTGCCAGACCATCCTGTCAGCTGGTCATTTAGCTGGCAGGTAGCAGTGTTTACAGGTGCACCTTACTTTGTATCAGCGTGACTTTGCGAAAAGCTACATTCCAGTGGATTTAAAAAACAACAACAAAGTATTTTGAATGACTGTAGGGGAGTTGGATATTGGAAATCATCCTAAAGTATTTTTTACATGAAGAGTCCTTTTATAAAGCCCCAATAATCTCTGATTTTATAAGTCTTAACTTTCCTATGGGGTTTTCTTAATGAGAAATGCAATTCCAGGGCTACGCTTTGAGGATAACATCCGTGATCTCTAGCCCAGTTCTGGTTATTGAAGATAAATTTCAATATTATCAATCGATAATTGCTGCAGTTTTTACTCTTCAAATGCATACTGTGTAATGGTTAAGGGGAAACAAATTTATTTTAAAAACAAGGCAAGCTAGAGTTTACAGATCAGGGATTCCTCTCTCCCCCCAGGGCTGTTAATTTTATTGTACTTTTGGGTAAGGGTCTTAGCCAATTGGTGCTCAACTTCTTCCACAGTGAATAACTCCAGAGATGCTGGCATAGACTAAAGTCAAGTGCACTTTGAATTCTTTGCTGTTCTCTCAGGGCAAGGTATCCAAGTGCCATGCCCCGTGATACTCAACACTCACCACCAAGGTTACCTCTCCAGCTGCACTACAAGTGGCCAGACATCCCTTGTTAAAGACGCATGGGGGAAAAAGGCTTCACCTCCCCCCTTGGCAGCCTGTACTGTTAAGTGACTCTTAAAGTCACCTGGTGTTTAACAGGCTCCCTGAGTCCTCCTTGTTGTAAGGCGTGATGGGGGACAGCTCATGCCCTCCTCTTACTCATCACCTTCGAGATTCTGGATAAAGCTAATATCCTTTTGACTCACAACCCAAGAGAATCTATGGTTCATTGCCAAGAGATTAAAAAAAAAAAAAAGGATGGGGGAGGGGTGCCTTTAGATTCTGATCAAACCCTGCCAATAGCATGATGGGTCACTAAGGGCAGCTTACACTCCCCTTCCTAAAATCCTTCCTTTCAGGCTCGGTTGAGAAGAGTAGCTTTGCCAGAAGGCATTGTGACCACAGTTCTTGGCATGAAAGATGAACGACTTGCAGCCTTATGCCAAAAAGTATTTCCTTGCATTTACATTCATTACTTAGAATGATCACATTATTCATCTTTTCCCCAGCATAGAAATTTGCATCTTGCACAAAATCTGCCTGGTGCAGCAGATTTTCATAGTTATGGAAACTGTCATCATTATTGGAATGTGCTGCTGCTCAACTCTCCAGACATAATTGAATATGGTGAGGAGAAAACGGTCTGCCTGGCTCTGAGGCAGCCACATTTTTACAACTGCAGCAAACAGAAGTGGTGTATCTGTCCTCACTTCAGTTGGGATTCCCATAGTTCTTGTGACGGAGACTTCTTTGGCTTTTGAAACACTACATTTCTTGATATTTAAGCACAACTTCATGTCTTTGTCTTTCAGAACTCATTAAATATAGGTGTCAGGACCCCGAAAATCTTGTGTGCTAGATTTGCACCTGTACAGTTCTCTTCACCCATGCTTTGTACTTATGTGGGCATATGTACAATTTGATCTCAAAAAGTCTAGGAACATGTGAGCATATTGCTTCATCACTGGAAGAAAAGGAGCCAGGAAAAATAGTCTCTGTCACTGGGAGCCCTAGAGGATGACTCCAAATCTTCTACATGCAGTCAGCTGTTCAGAACTTGCTACTCTTTTGATTGTTCATAATCAGGAAAGCTATTGGCTTCTTGGTTGTTTGTTGAAATTTATCTTCTTCTTTATATGGTTAAATTATTTTGTTTTGATAAAAATAAAATTGAAACTAAAAATGTCTTGTGTGATTTGTTAACATTTTAACTGAAACGATCACAGGCAGTATCCTGTATGAATTCGATATCTGATTATTTCCGAGTAGTTAACCAGACATCTTGCCCGCCATGTTGGTATCCCATTCCGCTCAACAAAAGGATTAAGTGATGGCAAATTACCATATTTTCTTGGGCTGTTTCCTTTTCCCACGTGTCTCATTTGTCATGGTCTGCCATATTTTAGACTTCTTAACTTAACAGTGTGTTTTTAAATCCTTAAATGTAGCTAAGTTTTGAAGCCACATGAGGGCACTATCCACAGTGCAATAATCCACAACTTTTCCCCTCAGAATGGATGTCTCTTGGATATTTAATGTGATTCATTCACCGAGGAAATATTCTTAAGTCAAAACAGTACCTCTTATGAAGATAGTTGATGTATTCTTCACAGGAGTAAGTAGACTTATTTTACATACCAACACTGTTCTAGTCTTCTACATATATACCTCTTAAAAGGCACTTGAAGTCCATGAAGACCCAGGGATTGGGAGAAAAAGTAGGAATGGAAGTATGGAAGGCACAGATATACTTATTGATGGATCTGAGTAGATTTTATGCTAACTCCTCCAACTCCAACAGTAATAAATTAACCCATCATTTCCAAACTTCAGTCATTTGAGAACCATCTTCATGCTTTTTGCCATATGTGTCCATACATGGGTATATCATTTACTTAATACTTTTGTTTAAATCATCGATCTTTTTTGTCACATGCTTTTATTATTAAACTTTTTTTTTATTATTGAAATGTAGTTGACCTGCAATGTTGTATTCGTTTTAGGTGTACAACATAGCGATTCAACAATTTTAAACAGCTCTCAGTGTTAAGTTAGTCACCATCTGTCACCATACAACATTATTATAATGTTGACTATATTCCCGATGCCGTACTTTTTGTGAGTCTGTGACTCACTATGTTAGAACTGAAAGTTTGTACCTCTTCATTCCCTTATTTCTTCCATTCCTTTACCTACTTCTTCTCTGGTGACTACCAGCTTGTTTTCTGTATTTAAGAGTGTCTGTTTATTTTTGTTTTTTAGATTCCATATGTAAGCGAAATCATACGGTATTTGTCTTTCTGTGTCTGACTTACTTCACTTAGCCTAATGCCCTCTAGGATCATTCATGTTATCATAAATGACAAGATCTCATTCTTTTTTATGGCTGAGTAATATTCTCTTGTGTATATGAACACCATCTTCTTTGTCACCTCTGTCTCTAAGAAGTGATTATTGGCCTAAATAATAATATCAGTGAAATCTCAGCCTGAATTTGATAGTATTGTATATTTTCTGATATGTGTTAAATGAAACTATTAAAAACTTTTGTCCCATGTGCCAGTTACATAGCATCTTCATATTACCAGGGGCACACCCCTCACACCGGGGGAAGGACTGAGCGAATCTGAAAGGTACATGCACTGTGAGTTACTTTTGTTATTCTAGTTCCTATTAAGCACAGCTCTTTCCCCATTTTTTTCCCTCCAAGCCTGTAGAACTGGGGCCACAAGTGGAATTATAGGTTTATCATATAAGTTTCTTCAGTCGAACTTTATAGGTGAGTAATTCCCATTCCAAGTCAAGGGATTATCCCATTTTCCAGTCTCAAAGGGATAGTCACATAATGTCTTGTGGCATAAACACATTTTTTTTTTTTTTGTCATGGTGGTTGGTGGTTGGTTGGTGGGGCGATTGGTTGGTTGGTGAGTACCAAATGATATACGGGAAAGCACGGTTAGGGATTCATGCTGAACCGCAAGGACGAATCAGTTCTGCTCGAGGACCTGCTTCCATGCTTTCGGATTTGAAGCAGATGGCTTTGGCTGCGCCAACAATCAAGGAGAGCAGCTTTCCAGTCTCCTGCGTGGTGGCAGCCTGTTGATATTTGGGCCAGGAACACAGAAGGACTGGCTCTGTGGCGTCTTGGACCTCGGTCTCCAGCTGTGACAGACATCTGCTTTCAGTCTCCCTCCCAGAGGCCAATCCAACACCCTTTATGGTCGAGTGTCTGGTGATTTCTGCCCAGAAGTAAGTGAATTGTTTTTCTGCATGAGTGAATGGATTCCTATAAAAAATTGTAGGTTTGTACATGTGGCCTCTGGGACAGAGTGACCCAATTCTGTCTCTGGCGGCAGTGGAGATCTAGTTGTCCTGTGTGTACGTAGTGTGAAATAGGGTACAGTTCAGCAGAAATGAGGCCTCTCGGTGCCATTATAAATGAAAGGCTGGCTCTTCAGGCTTGGGTTTTCTATATGCTGGTGCTCCAGCCAGACACGTTTGCTCTGAGGATTCTTTCCCCGTGTCCCCCGTGCCTCCCACACATGCAGAGGTCATACATCGAGGACCTACTCAAAAAATCGTCTTCTTGTCCAAGAACTCAGTGAGCTAAGAAACGAGATAGCCACATATACAGCCCAGGAGGGATCTCCTTGGAGCAGGGCCCATGGTGACTTCATCGTGGTGTTCTCTGTAGCTAGAACAGTGCATGGCCCCTAGCAGATATCAACGCACATTTGTTAAGTAAGCAGATGAAGTGTCTCACTGCTCGTCAGGGAGAGGAAAAGAAAGATTCTAAGATGAGTGATTTGGCCCAGCCCCTTGCCTCATTATCAGATAGAGAACTTTCTGTCCCCTGATTTCAGAATTTAGCAGTACTTTGCCATTACCTACTCCATCTTCTTTGTTCACCCAACATTTATTGAGTGCTTAAGTATGTAGTAGGCATGGGAGGATACAGGACTGTGGTCCATGGAGCTTTTAGTTGGGCAGACAGGATGTCAATTGATGAACCGATCAGACAGATAAATAGGTAAACAATATAACGTCAGATGGTGCTGAGGGCTAAGAAAACGAAGGAGCACGAGAAGCTATTGTGCCCTGATTCAAAACACTTAATGCAAATACATATTTTTCTTTTACCGTCTCAGTAAAACGAGAGAAATCCTATGCAGTCAGTAAGATCTGTCCTGCTTCCCCCCAACAACCTCAGTTCTTACGTGAAGCAGGGAGCACTGTGGAGTGACCTCATGAGTCTCGTGCTCATACATTTCCTTACCTTCTCGGTAGCTTTAGTTAGTGTCAGTTGGTCAGACCCTCCAGCGGAGCCTGGGGACTTGGGTCTGTTGCGTGGACCCGCCGATTTGCAGGTACCCCAGCACTTCTGGGTGGATGCTTCTCGGATCCCACAGGAGCAGGTGGGCACTGTTTTGGACCTAATTTACTTGACACGAGCCATCAAACATTTGAGGCCTTGAGGATCTCAGTCCTGGGTTCTTTTTCTCAGAAAAGGTTAAGAGGTCACCCTTAAAGGCAGTGGTTCTCAAAAGAGGGTGGTTGGACAAAGGAGGGGGAGCATCGGACCGTGTCTGAAGACAGTTTTGACTTCACAGCTCAGGGTGAAGGGTGCTCCCGGCCTCTGTAGGCGGAGGCCAGGAATGCTCTTCAACACCCTGCCGTGCACAAGGTGGCCCCACAAAAAGGCAGCCGGTCCTCCAAACCACTAGTACAGAGGGTGAGAGCTGGGGCTCAGGAGGTGAGTCTGTGGTCCACAGGAGGCCCGAGGACAGCTTGGTCCTCATACCGGTGGTGAAACCTGACCTGAAGCAGAGTCCGGGCTCTGCGGCCCAGGCCCAGGCCAGCGCCCCTTCCTCATCTGCACTCCAGGGATCCGTCCGCACACGGTAGTCCAGCTGCCGGCTGCAGCCCGGTTTACTGCAAATCTCACTGGCTTTTTTTACCTTTCCTTCCACCTTGAGGAGAAAGAACCAGGACATGGGGAGGTAGATCCACGTGAACAGATGTTTGAGTTTCGAATAGACATTTGAGAAGTATTTCTAGATTGAACGCTCGGATTTTGCTGGGAGGACAGATGCCACCCAGGCTCTAGACAGGCTCCTTGGACCCCCAGGGCCAGAAGGAAGGTGAGAGGATGAATGCTGGTCTGGACACCAGGAAGCTTTCAGATTTGACCAAGATGAGCCGGTTTGTGCTTTCTTCTTTTTAGGGGCAACTGAGAACCGGAGGATTTTGAGCTGTGACTAACACCTGGGCTTCTGCCCTAAACGCCAATGCTCTTGCCATGACACGATCACATTCTGCCCCTGAAAGTTTTCCATCATGTTCTACCGGCCTTACTAAAAGTGCAAAGAAAGAACAATAACTTTTATAAAGATTCTCTGCATCCAGGGTTGAAAATATTGATGAATTTCTGATTAACCGGAAATTACCCAGAAAATGAAATTATCCAGACTTATCCCATTCCCCACACGTTCCAGTTAGTCAAGGTTTGATTGTATTTGCTTTGCAAAAAGCAAACTTGTCTCCGAAGATGTTTCGACTCAAAGAGATGTGAGCAGTGCCTATGTGGTCTCATAATTTATGCACTTGAGTTGCTGTTCTGTGGGCAATTTGGCAGGGATCACAGGCGCAGACAAAGGAGATGTTAACAGTGAAAAAGACATCACCAGCAAGCCTTTGGAAGACAAACACTTCACATCTTCAATTACAAGACAACCTGATGCAGAGAGAGAGAATAAATTAATTTAAAAACCTCCTGCACAAAGAAAATAATGGAAAAATACATCATAAGTGGTTATCCCTTTTGTGCTAAAAACAAGTGATTTGGAGAAGATAACTGCATGGGGCTGAATGTGTTAGTCTTATCTTTTTCTGGTTTTTACATTTTTAGGGGAGAAACGGAGAACAAGGGGAAAAAAAGCAGCTTTCATTGTTTCAACAAACGTTTCTTGGGTATTTGGTATGTCGCCGGGCACCAGGCTGCGCTTTCTGGGACCTTCTCTGCTTGCGAAAGAACTTTCAATCATGGCAAAGAAACTTCTAGATGCCTCATTGCTGATTCCGGCGGTGGTTCCAGAAAGGCCGTTTCTTCTAGGGTTTTTTTTTTGTTTTTTTGT